GTGTGTGTGTGTGTCTCCTACTTTAGGACTCGAAACTCAAAGTTTAGGAAGTGGGACTTGACTCAGGACTTGTTCATCTCTGGCATAATAACATTAACATTAAGCTGTCTCTTTTTCTGCTGTAACAACGTACATGTCCCCTCTGTGGGACTCATAAAGGTATTCTGATTGTACCCAAGCTTTGAGCATCTAATCACGTCCCTCCTCCCATTGGTCCTCCTCCCCGCAGGCCCTCAGTCCCCAAGCCTCGGCCGGGCGCTCTCTGAGGACCAGTTCAGCTGCTCCATCTGTCTGGAGGTGTTCGTGGAGCCCGTCACCACGCCATGCGGCCACAGCTTCTGCAAGGCCTGCCTGCTGGGCTACTGGACGCACAGCAAGAAGTTCACGTGCCCCATGTGCAAGAAGAGCTACAGCAGACGACCCGAGATGAGCGTCAACAGGGTCCTGGCCGAAATCTCCTCCCAGTTCCAGGGGCTGATGCTGGCCGGGGGATCTGGAGGAGCTGGAGGATCAGGGGGATCCTCGCGGGGATCCACCCTGAATCTGAGCTCAGATACGAGCCACAGCAGCCCCAGCAGCACCGACAACGGGGAGTTTGCCCGGGCGGGGGAGGTTCCCTGCGACGCCTGCATCGGGAGGAAGGTGAAGGCTCTGAAATCGTGTTTGAACTGTCCGGGATCGTTCTGCGAAGTCCACCTCAGACATCATAAAAAGGTCTGTTTTTTGCTTCTTTAGGATTATGGCACATTTCTCTTGGTTGTCATTAGCGATGTCTCTTTGTTTCCCACTTTATTCATGCACTTGAACCTAAAAGTTGACAGCAATCCCATTCAATGTCTTTTGTTGGAGCTTCTAAATCATCCATTACTTATCCTACATGCATATATTTTAAATAGTCAAAGAAAAATGCATTCTAGGGTTACCTTTACATATGTTTTGCTAAAAATGTGTGCACAGAATACTCTTTTTTTGTATTTATTTTGTGTTCACGACTCTCTTTCTCTTTGCACTAATTCCTAGGTGAAGTCTCTGACGTCTCACCGTCTGATCGAACCCACTTTCCACCTGGAGGAGAAGATCTGCAAGAAACACGAGCGTCTGCTTGAGATCTACTGCCGCAGCGACCACACCTGCATCTGCACGGCCTGCGCAGAGGCCTCGCACAGATCACACGACCTCGTCTCCGCTGAGCACGAGTGGAAGAAGAAGATGGTGAGCTGTAGCTAAAGATTCTGAAGGAACGATAAGGGACAAACAATCGCCAAAACTAAAAAGGAAAACAACAACAAGTCTACTTGTTGATTGATTGAATGGCTTTATGTCAATGGATTTAGATTCTCCTGCGTTGATATTAATTCCACTTATCCACAATTC